GAGATGGTTGGGCAGGAGAACAGCAAGTCCCTGATGGCGCTGTGGGTATGGGGATGGGCAAGGGGGACGCCCTTGGGGAGGTGCACGGTGACCATGTGGCCCCCACTCCACAGGCCCAGATGACCAAGCTCAGGGAGGAGATGAGCCTCCGCTTTCTCAAGAGGGAGGCCAAGCTATGCAGCTTCCTGCAGAAGAGCTTTCTGGCCCTAGAGAAGGTGAGTGCCTGCCGGCGGCAGGCCATCCAGTCCCCCTCTCCCCAGCTCATGGCGGGCGGGGTCTCCCCACAGAGAATGAAGGCCTCAGAGAGCGCACGGCTGCCGGCGGAGAGCGGCCTATGGGAGGAGCTGGAGAGCCAGTGGCAGCAACTCCAGGAGCTGGACGCAGAGTGCACGTGGGCCCTGCAGGGGCAGAGGCAGGTGGGTGGCACAGTGGGCACCAGCACAGGCGGGGCCCCGGCTGGAGCTGGGCAGGTCTCAGGTTGCCTCTGCCCGGCAGCAGGAAGAGTGCCACCTCCTGGAGCAGTGTCGGGGCCTGGACAAGGCCGTGGTCCAGCTGACCGAGTTCGTGCGTCAGAACCAAGCATCGCTGAGCCACATCCTGCTGGCCGAGCAGAAGGCCTGGTGGGTGTCCGAGCGGGGCCTCAGGTGGGGCAGGTGGGAACGGCCCTGCTCCCCTGACCCCAACATCCTGAGCCTGGCTCGAGGCCCAGCAGGGTGCCCTGGGGCAGAGAAGCTGCCCTTTAGTGGGGGGCTCCCATCCCTCCCCCAGCCTGTCCCTCGTGGGGGAGCTCTGAGTGGCAGCGGTGGACTCAGCCCTGTCTCGGTGGTCCCTGTGATGACCCTCATCCTCTCCCTGGGGCCACCTGGAAGGTTCTGAAGCCAGTAGCCGGGCTCGCTGCCCTGGCACAATGCCAAGGGGTGGGCCAGCCTTGGCTGAGGGACAGTCTCTCTCAGTGGCACCCACCCCTAGGGATGCTAAAGGGAAGTTGGAGAACAGCCGGGCCGGGGAGCTGGCTACCTACCTGCAGGAGAACCTGGAGACCATGCAGCTGGCCAGCGAGCTGGCCCAGCAGGAGATGTACAGTGCCCTGGAGCTGGTGAGACGGCAGGGCCAGGGCCGGGCCTGCAGGGTTCCCTGCTTATGCAGGCAGTACAGTCAGCCCAGCCTCCCACAGCTCTGAGAGAAGAGCCAGGCCCTGGAGGTGTCCGTGGCTGAGCTGGTCAGGCAGGTGAAGGACATGAGTGACCACTTCCTGGCCCTGAGCTGGAGGCTGGACCTGCAGGAGCAGACGCTGAGCCTGAGGCTGTGCGAGGTGAGTGCACAGAGCAGCCCGGGGAAGGCGCACCTAGGTGGGAGGGGTCCTGCTGCCCCTCAGGGCGGCGGGTCCCAACCCACCCAACAGCTGTCCACAAGGCCCAGGGCCCCAACCACACGGGGGCTCCACTGAGTGACCAGCAAAGCAGCCTACACCTTTGGGTTCTTTTTGCTCTTTTTCTAACACCTTTATTGAGGTTCAGTGCACCCACCAGACAATTCCCCCTTTCAAAGTGTGTACTTCCGTGGTTCTTTGTCTATTCAGAGTTGTACAGCCACCACCACAATCACTTTTAGAACTTTTCCATCCCCGAAAAGGAAACCCCGTGCATTAGAGGTCACAACCCCTCCCCCAGCCCCTGGCAAACACTGGTCTGCTTTCCGTCTCTCTGGATTTGCCTGCTCTGGACATTTCGTATAAATGGAATCAAATGCTCTGTGGCCTTTTGTGAGCTTCTCTCGCTGAATGTTCCATGTTTGAGGTTCATCCACTCTGTGGCATGTGTCAGTGCTCCTTTCCTTTTTATGGCTGTCACATTTCACTGTGTGGATGGATCATAGCTTATTCATTTGTCAGCTGATGACACTGAGCTGGTGTCCTTCTGAAGCCCTTAGTGCTGCCGTGAACACAGGTATACACCCTTTGGCAGCGGGGCTGGGTCCCCCATCCTGTGCGTGTAGGCCAGCTGCCTGTTCTCTGTCGCTGCCGACTCACAGGCAGCTGGGTCTGGCTCAGGGGAGGGAGCGAAGCCAGGCCTTCTTAGGGATGTGGCTCTGCTCAGCCTGGTGGCCCTGCCTGGGAGGACTGGGGCACCCAGACTGTGCCAGGCCAGGCCACCCGGGCTGTGTCCGGTCAGTGTGGACATGCTCTGAGTTGAGGCAGGGGCCCTGTGCCCTCCAGGAGCTCTGCTGCGTGGGACTCGCCGTCTCAGGTCTGACTATGGCTCCAGTGGAGCCAGTCAGTCGGCCTGTCCACCCTCTCTGGGCGGGTTCCAGCCCTCACTGGTGTCTGCACCCCAGGCACAGAGTGAGTGGGGAGTTGCAGAGCAGCGATGGCGGGAAGGCCTGGCCCGGTGTCGAGAGGAGGCCGAGGCGCACCTACGGGAGGTGCAGCAGAGAGTGGACAGCCTGCCCCGGCAGGTGGGTGAGGGCTGGGCTGGCCTCCCCCTCCCCGCTGTGCCCACCCTGAGCCGCCCGCCGGCTCTGCGTTTCAGATAGAGGCCATCGCCGACACGTGCATCCTTCACAAGAGTGACGCAGACTTCAAGATCCCTGCCGAGGCCAAAGCCAGGTGAGGCCCCCGGCTCCCTGTCATAGCCTGGCAGGACCTTCAGGGAGTGGGCTGGTCCCACTGCAGGAGGGCACAGCCGTCTCAGAATGACCCTGCTGCATCACAGGGCTTCCTGACAGTGGTCCATCCTCCCCAAGCCCCTGCACCTGTGGCAGTCCCGACCCCTCCCCACCCCAGGCCTGGCCCAGCTTTGGGTTTGGCCCCTGCTGGGGGCAGCCTTTCACTCTATCACCTGCTGGGGACCCCCCAGTGCCCACTGGTGGGGCGGCAGTGCCGAGCACCCTATACTCTGCCCAGGGCCTGCTCCCTCCAGCTGCCCCACCCCCCAGATGCCTGCCAGAGCCCGTCAGCCCCAGCCTCCTGTGCTCACAGAGAGCTCGAGGGCGAGGCCGTGAGGCAGGAGCTGGCTGCTCTGCCGTCCTCTGTGCAGCTGCTCAGAGAGGGCAACCCCGGGCGGAAGATCGCTGAGATCCAGGGCAAGCTGGCCACGGCACCCCTGGGCCCCTGGGCTTGGCACACTCGGTGGGGGGCGGTGGGGGGCTGGCTCAGACAGGGGCAGACCTCCCCCCACCCAGGGAGGCTCAGATCCAGGACACCCCCCTGGAAATGTGGGGGGCGAGGCGCATGGAACCAGCCATCCTGCTGGGCGGCTCTGCACATATCAGCCTCTGGAAGTACCAAGTGGGGGCTTCTGTCTGGAGCCCCCAGATGCTGAGGTGCATCAGCAGCTAGTGAAAAGAGCAGCCCTGAGTTCTGGCCGGGTCCCCCCTTGTCATCGGGCTGAGTGATGCGACCGGCTCCCACTGAGGGGCGAGGACCCATGTGTCAGAGGCCGGCTCCTGCCACGAGTGATTAGGGCGGGGGCCTCCCCCGAGTCTGCAGACTTCCTGCATCTGTGCCCACGAATGGGGGCCGTGTTTAGTTTCAGAACCAAATGATGAAGTTGGAAAGCAGCATCCAGTACAAGACCATTCAGAATCTCAAGTTTAATACAGAAACCAAGCGGGTGAGAGGTGGCCCCTGAACTGGGCCCTGGCCGTGCCCCCGCCCCCACCACCCAAGCTCCAGGGCTTACCAGGCCCTGTGGGTGGGCCGCCTTTCTCTGTGCAGAGCCTGACTTCCAGCTGCCCTCACCACCCCCAGCCTGGCCACCCCGTAGCTTTTTGGTCTGCCCAGCCGTCTGTCTGCGTGTCTGGCCCAAGCAGAGTTTCTGGGCAGATAAGGCCCAGGCTAGCCCAGAGGGAGATAAATCCCGTTGGCTGTCCCGCCCCTCTGGTCTGATTCTCGTGTCCACAGCGCACGGAGGAGATGGCCACTCCGCTGTCAAGCGTGATGCACCTGTGGAGCGAGGGGGGCCCCCTGGGCCCTGACGCTAGGCAGCAGGAGGGTCCTCATGTCCCTGGTGAGGCAGCAGTTCATCAAGGATGTGGCCCCTGATGAGGTGGTCCCCATGAACCACTGGGGCATGTATCAGGCCGTGAGGTGGGCAGCGGGGAGCCGCCTTCCAGAGCCCCCTCCAGGCCCGGGTTCGGGGCTGGGCGGACCCCGAGGGCAGTGGGCGGAGGCGGGTTCCGGGCCATGAGCCGTGTCTCTGGGCAGGTGGCTGCGGTGGAAGGCGGTCCTCATGAAGCTGGCGGCCTGGCGGAGGCCAAGGGCGGTCTCGGAGAAGCCCCTCGGCTAGAAGCCCGCCCACTAGCTCTTGTCCCTGCTCCTTTCCCAGAAATAAACATGCCCGCCCCACGCCTGTCTGAGGCTGGAGTTCCCTCCAGGGGTTCAGGAGGCCCTGGGCAGGGGAGTGGCCAAGAGGACCTTCCCTAGACTCCCAGAACCCCTGCCCCTGTCCTGGCTGCTGAGCCCCAGACCCCACCGCTCCCCAGGGCCTCCCACCCACAGGCACTGCAGCCCGAGCCCCACCCGGAGCCAACAGCACGTTAGCTTGGCCACTCAGACAGTGCCCCCCTTCCTGCCCCTCCAAGAAAGCCGTCACCCCCATGGTAGCTGGCCCTGCCACCTGCGCGGGTGCCACGAGGAAGAGCCACCCTGGGGCCAGTTGGATGGGCAGCGTGGAGGGCTGCCCTTCACCACTGACTGGAACTTTGGGGGCTGGTCTTTGAGGAAATGTGGCTTGCCCAGAGGGGAACCCAGCGTGTAGACGCCCTGAGCCCACCGCCTCCAAGAGGCTGCAGCTCCTGCCCCATCCTCCCTCCTGTGGGCAGAGCTCTTGGGTGGCCCCTGCCCATTCCCTGCCCTGGCCTGGGAAGTCCCTACCTGAGCTGATTTGTCCCCTGGTGGCTGCCCTGATTGGAGGTCCCCGAGGGCTCCTCTCAGGACAGCAATAAGGAGAGTCCGGGCCCTTGTTGCCCTCAGCTCACCCCCGCTGATCCTTGCTCAATCACTAGGCCTCGGCCAGCTGCACCCCCTCCAGGGCCTGGCCCCCCCAGCCCAGCAGCTCGGGGCCGGCCTCTGCTGACCAGCTGGCCAGCAGGTCGCTGAAGTCAGGCGTGCCGGGGTGCAGCAGACCCAGGGGGCTGGGTGCCGGCTCCTTCCAGAAGGAGGGGGGAAGCTTCCTTTGGGTCATGGGGGTGATGTGGCCGTACTTCTGCTCCAGCCTGAGTCGGCGGCCGGCCGCGGCCCTGGGTCCCAAGTACTGCCGCAGCCCGTAGTCGAAGAGCTCGGCCAGGGGTCCCAGCGGCTGCAGCCCTTCCCCACCGAGGCCCGGCCCGCACGCCTGCCCCTCGGGGGCCCCAGGGGAGCAGACCCCGGGCTCAGTGGCCTCATTTTCTGGGGCCTCGCCCTGGGCCAGGCGCACAAGGTTGGCGCAGGAGAGCTCCCTGGCTGAGTTGCTGGCCATGTGGCCATCGGCGTAGATGTCGCAGGCGTCGGGGTCCTGCCCCCGGTCCTTGTGGCCGAAGTACCGCTGGATGTCGCCACTGATGAGCTCAGAGAACCGCAGGAGCTGCAGCGGCGTCTCAGGGCCACCGGGGTCCAGAGGGGCCACTTCTGGGGCCCAACCTGAGCTCTGGGGGGCCGGGCTGTGGCCCTCTGGCCCCTCGACCTCCAGTTCCTCTTCCCCATCCTCCTCCTCCTCCTCCTCAGAAGAGTCTGGGGGCTCCGGGTCTGAGGGCAGGAAGGGCCCATGGTATGGCAGAGGCAGCCGGAAGTCACAGAGAGGCCAGATCACACCCGCGGCCATCTCTCCGCCGAGCTTCTGGGGGCTCTCGGGCACTGGGCGCTAGCTGGGGAGGGAGGTGGAGAGGGGACAGGTTAGCAGTCAGGGCCCGCAGCCCTCCTAGGGGAATAGTCACTGCAGGGTTGGGGCGGGCGCTGAGCTCAGAGGCAGGTGACATTTGGAGAGACGGAGGTGGTGGGCACTGTGGCGGGGGGGCATGGCAGGGGTGAGCTGCAGGGTGCAGGCCTCAGTCACCCGCCAGAGGAGGGTACATCTGTAGGGAGGGTGGCTGACAGTGCTGTTGGAATAGTGACTTGGAGAGAGAGAAGCTGGGCAGGTGGGAAGGGAGCTGGCCCAGGGGCTGGGCTTCGGGCAGGTTTGGGGTCTGGAGAGCAGAGCCCTCGCCCCAGCTCAGGGTCTCTGTAGCTCTTGATAAACAGGCTTGTTGACGTAGAGTCTGCCCAGGTGCAGGGTGGGGAGGGACCCCCTTGACACATCCCCTCCCTGAGTGTCTGTGGTTGGCAGGGTCCCTCTGTGCCTGAAGTGACCATGCCGAGCCGGGAGCCAGGCCTGGCTGCCTCGACCTGGGTGCTCTGTCCCTTGCAGTTTTGGGGGCTTCAGAGGCTTCAGGGGCTGTGAGGGTGAGCTCCGGGGATCTTCAGGGGAGGGCAGAGCCATTTCTCTGTCCCCACAGTCGCAGGCTTCCCTGTGCTCCCTGTCGGGGGTGGAGGGTTGGTGAGGTCACCTCTAGCATCTCTAACCTGGGGATGGGGGGGGGGCTGGCAGGACTGTGGAGGGGGTGGGATTAGGGGAGCTGATTGTGAATGTGGGAGGCCCCCCCCCGAACAGGGCCCCAGCTCCTGCACTGCAGGGAGGCAGGGGGGCCAGCCCTTGGACCAGGAGGCCTTCTAGCGGGAGCCCTGGGCAAGGGGGAGGAAGAAAGGGAAGAGGGGTTAGAGAGAAGGGGGGGCTCACAGCTTCAGGAAACCACTCCCCATGTGGGGGGAGGGGCGGGAAGTCTACAGGCCGCCCTCAGAGTCAGGGGGGCCTCTCGGACCTCCCCCTCCTCCCTGCCATCATGCTCTGCAGTTCTAGGGCCCCTCTTCCCTGTTGGGGTGAACCGTGGCCCCAGCGTTGGGCGTTGGCATGGCCGCTGGTGGGGAGCCAAGACTCAGGTGCCCCCCTTTCCCTGGCCAGCCCACCTCAATGACCCAGCCCCGCTCAGCCCTGCTGTTGACCCCTCCCCGTGGGTGGGTGGTCCCCAAAGACCACCAGGGCAGAGGAACCCCACAGCCTTCCCAGGACCTCTGCCACCAGCACCCTCCCGCCCGCCGCCCAGCCTGGCTCCTACCTGCCAAGGCCTGCAGCTCCCGCTGGGCAGGCCCACCTCCACCTGGGCTCAAGCATTTATAGCCAAGCTCTGTGGCTGGCCCGGCTGGCAAATATTTGGTGACTGCATTGTCATCGCAGACTGGGCAAATAGAGCCCGTTTGCTTTAGCGCCTGGCAACCAGGGCCCCGCCGGGGGGAGCCTCAGCCTGCCCGGGGGACCGTGGAGTGTTTGCCGCTCGCCCAGCTGGCTCACACCCGGGGCCGAGGACCCTTATCTCCGCCGCTGATTGGGGCCTGGACCAAGCCTTGTCAAATAGGCGGAAAATTAAATTTCATGCTATTTTGACTCCTGGAGTAGCCTTCTCTAGAGGACATCCTGCTTCTGCAGCGCTCTGGGTGAACGGGCTCTGGGCCAGCAGCAGGACCTGGGAAGCCCCAGGAGGGCCAGGGACCACCAGCCAGGGCCTAGGTGGTGGGTTTATGCAGGTGGGGACCCCAGAGTCCCTGCCCAGCCCCTTCCTGCCACTTCCCACCGTTCCAGAGCTGCAGGTGCATTTGCAACAAACCCCATTGAATCACTGCTCCCCCAAGGGCTTCATCCCCACGTCCAGGCTGAGGTGACACCTCCCTTCTCTGGCTCCTTTTTTAGCTCCTGTGCCTTCCCCTAAGGGGCTTGGTGGCCCCTCCAGCCCCGTGGGTCCTGCCCCGGGGCGTCCTCACTGTGGTTACCACCCACCATTACAGCCCCTTCACCGTGAGTCCCATGAGTCCAGTCCAAGTTTCCCCGTCCCCGGAAACCGACCTTGGCCACAGCCACAGTTCTGTCCTTATACCCTGGGGTCCAATGACACTTGCCAGGTCCTGGTTGTGGGTCGACCCTGCCCCAGCCTTAGCCAGCCTCTCTCTGACCCAGCACAGCCCAGATGTCAGCCAAGACCTGGGGGAGGCTGGGGGTTGGGGTCCCCGGTGGCTCCCCAGGACTGCTGGGACCCCAGAATCCCTCTTTGCCCAGATACGGCCCCTGCCCCTCTGCCAGCCCAGGGAACGCCCACCATGACCTGCCCAGGACCCAGGGCTGGACCTCAGCAGCTGTTCTGGCTGTAGCTGCAGTGCCCACTGCTGCCTATTGGGAACAGCCAGGGCCGGGGTCTGGGAAGGGCCTGGAGACCGGCTGGGTTGGGGTCAGCCCCGCAGGGTGGGGCCTCAGGGGCCCGAGGGAAGTGCTGGGCATGGGGGCTGGGCTGGGGAAGGTGAGATGCAGCCCTGTCATGGAGAAGGTCCTGGCCTTTGTGGCCAGAGGAGGGGCTTCACAAAGGAGGTGGTTTGCAGGCACTGATGGGGCAGGTGCTCACCCTGCCAAGCCGGGGGAAGTAAAGGTGTTCCGGCAGAGGGGACAGCCTGGAAAGGAACCAGATCGCGAGGAGCTGGCACCCCTGTGGTAGGCTGAGTGATGGCCCCAAAGATGTCCACACCCTGATCCCTGGGAATTGCGTCCTCACCCCACTTGGCAAAGGGACCCAGCAGAGGTGACTGAGATAAGGACCCTGAGATGGGAGATGGCCCTGGATTATCCAGTGGGCTTGTGTGTCACAGAGGGAAGCAGGAGGGTCCGAGTGGGGGTGGGGGGAGATGTGGCGACTGAAGCAGAAGGTCACCTTTGAAGGTGGAGGGGCTGCAATCCAAGGAATGGAGCGGCCTCTAAAATCCGGAAGACAAGGAGATTCTCCCCTGGAGCCTTCAGGGCACAAACCTGCAGACACCTTGATTTGGGGCCAGGGAAACCCACTTGGGACCTCGGACCTCCAGGACTGCACAACAAATCAGTGTTGTTTTAAGCCACTCAGGTTGTGCTCCCTGTTTCAGCAGCAACAGGAAGCCCAGAGGTGGAAGCATTGGCTGGAAAGTGGAGTGGGTGGCACACAGGACCTCCTGGCCTGGCCCTGGAGCTCGGACCTTCCTCCTGTACTGGGAGCCAAGTCGGCCAGGGCCTCAGCTCTTCCCAGCATCACTGGAACCAAATCGCAGAGTGGCAGTGGGGCTTTTGCAGGAAAGAGGCCCCAGGGTGGTTTTCACCCCCCACCCCACAGGCCCACTTTTCCATCCTGGCCTCTGCCTCAGGCTCCCAGTCAGTGGAACTGGGGCTGTGGAAGGGGCTCTGGGTCCCAAGAGTGACCCAGCGAGGTGTCCATTCATGCCAGCTGTGGGAAGACTGTCCACAGACAGCCAGACACTTGTCCTCTGGTGGCAGAATCCCAGTGCCTTTTTCTGCCTGACCAGAGACAAGGAGGAAACCCCAGTCTAGGATGGAGAGTTCTAGAGTCGGAGAGAACCCAGAGCAGGCAGGTGTTTGGGGAGAGGAACCTCAGCAGCACAGTGTGGGGTGGGCCTCTGGACACAGGAGGCCTGAGACTGGAGACTTGGGGAGGGTGCCACTGCACCAGTCCTAGCGATCAACGATGGGGCCTAACAAGGCACAGTATGTGGAGGTGAGGGTGGGAGACAGGCGTGAGAGGGATTCAAGAAGCAGATCTTGGGTCTTAGTGGAATTATCCCCTTCCTTGCCCCTCCTGAGTCAGAGCCATGCTCAAGATAGACACAGGAGTCTGGTGGGTGGAGGCTGAACTCCAGCTTTTGTTACAGGTGAGGCTGGGCTGGGTTATGGCAGCCAGGGGGACCCTGGGTAGGTGGAGAGACGCACTTTCCCAGAATCACTGCCCACACATGTCCCGCCGGTATTGGGTGGCCAGCCAGTGCCAGGCCAAGTGGCATGGGTGTCCCAAGCCCCCTGTGCCCATGGGGGCTCCTGGCTGGGGCTGGGGGCTGAGGCACTCAGGCTGCCAGGCTTGGGGCCTGAGCATATGCCCTGGCATCTGCTCCCAGCCAGGCCCCCATTGTGGGCAGTATGGGGCCTTCAGAGCTCTGTGCTCACCCTGCCCCCACCAGCCCCCACCCCTGCTGTCAGGCCTCAGCCCCTGGGAGAAAGTCTCTGCCTTTCCAAAGGTGGTGGCCCTGCCTGTCCCCATGCACCCCATATTGATCTTCCCAGGGAAAATCAATAGCTCCAATATGTCAGCTCTCAAGTGGCGCTACAGTAAATTACTCCCGCCATCGGGCACACAAGGGCTGCAGCCTCCCTCCCATTAGTGGGACATTAGTCCTCGTGTGAGGTTTCTCTGTGTGCTTTGAGATAATGAAGGCTGAGGTGTTGGTTTATGCCTCTGGGAGGAGGGGGACCTTGGACAAGAGCGGCATCGCTGGCAGTGCTGGGCACCTGTCACCCAGTGCCCTGCCGAGACTGCTGGGGTCAGGAAGGGGAGGGCCCTGGAGACACCGGGCCACCGGCCGCATCTGGCTGTGGCTTTTCCCACTCTGGGCTCCACCGCATCAGAGAGGGTCAAGCAAACCACAGCATTTGGGGCTGTTGTCACCCTCCAGCCAGAGGCTGCCAGGGACACATGTGTCACTGAACAAGGTGGACTTCACAAGGGAGAATTCACAGCCCGGAACATGGGTGTCTCAGGAGGCGGGCGTTAGAATGGGCTCTGGGTTCAGCCATTGTTGGGTGAGGGGCTCTGCTCTGGGCTGTGTGCTGTCAGCAAGCAGGGTAGCTGTGACTGGGCATCTGTATCAGTCTCCAGGGGCTGCCATAACAAAGGACCACCAACTGGTGGTTTAAAACAACAGAAGTTACTTTCTCACAGTTCTGGAGGCCAGAAATATGAAACCACGAAGGCTCTGGGGGAGAATCTTAGCTTCTGGTGTAGCCGTCAGTCCTCCGTGTTCCTTGGCTGGTGGCCGCATCACTCCAGTCTCTGCCTGCCTCTTCACATGGCCTGCTCCCCTGTGCGTCTCTGGGTCTTTTCTCCTCTTATAAGGACAT